ATCATCATCACACTAGTTCTGATGACACCTGTGGCAGGGTTCTCTTGTGACTTGGACAAACAAAAAATGACTGCCCAAGGCCAGAGATCACTTTAGTGACATTTATTTATGTATTTATTTATTATCACTACGTCATCACCTGACTCTCTCCTGGTGTGCCACAATCCATAAATAGCCCTGCTTGAAACAGAACCGGGAAAATGTTTGGAACTGAAAATAACATGTTAAGATGGATATGCTAACTGAAGCAGGAACACCGCATGTGCACCCATGATGAACCGCGTCAGTTTAAGCTGCAACAGAAGTAAGTTAGCGATTGTGTACGTTTGTGTGTATCCGTGTGCGGGCGTGCTCGCCTGCTGACATGGACTCATAATTAAGTCCGGGCTTGTGACGGCTCCTCCGTCACAACACATACATCCCTAGTCCACAACATCGTAAAATTGTCTGTATTCTTTAAAGTACAAGTACTTTCTCTGTTTAATTGCTCTATTGAAGGGGTGCTTAAGTCCAGTCCTCGAGAGCTACTGTCCTGAAACTTCTAGATGCATATTTACTCCAACAGACCAGGTTCAATGGCTGAATTCCCTCAGCAGCATGAATTCAGCTCTGACCAGGCCTGGTAACGAGACATTCATTTGATTCAGGTGTGTTGGAGCAGGATGCATCTGAAAGTTGCATGATGGTAGCTCTCAAGGACTGGACTTGAGCACACCTGCTCTATTGTTCTTTTTTGTAGGTTTCTGTAAAGTGCAGTGGTGCAGTGAATGGTAATGTTCTGTCGTTGATCTTCACTGTTCTTAGGAAGGAGAAATGTCAGTTTGTCTGGAGTAATACTGGAATGTGACACTGAATTAACAAAATTCTGTCCTTGGTTAAATATTTTTCACATTTCCTCTAAAGTGTATTTTTTTATTGTGCTAGTTTTTATAAGCATTGTCTATACATTTTTAATATGACAGTTTGTACAACTGAATGCACATTGTCATTTTTTTTTTCAATCAGAAAGTGTATTGCAATTGATCCTACTGCATGCTGGTAGCCTAATATGTTTGCAGTGCTGTAGAATGTATGAAGCATGTAATGTCCAAAGAAGACAAGCAGAATAACAAAAGGCACTGATAACGAGAAAGTGTACTTCATTAGGAGTTATTAACCAAATGTTTAATGCTTTTATATTTAGAAGACTTTCTAAATATGTTTTAAATTTAATGCTTTCATAAAAATGGTACACAAAAAAGAAAAAAGAAAAAAAATATTCAAAGCATTCTTTGAGGGTTATTGTAAAGATGATGTCTAGCTTTTGAGGATCATTTGTTGTACTTCACCTTGTCCAGCAGGTCCTGTTTAAGTGATGTGTTGATTGAGCAGTAATCAGCTAACGCTGTGTGACTAGAGAGGACATGGCAATCCCTTTTTCCACACAGATTCATGTAGGTTTTGATTTTTTAGTATAAAAACACATTGAGATTTGTGGTCACAATTAGACAAAATAAGTTCAAAATGTTTGAATACTTTGGCAGAACATAGCAAAACTCTACACAAATTTATTAGTGCCTCAAAGATACCAACGGAAACACTTGCAAGGTGTGATATCAGGGACTCACCTGTGAGGTACAAATGTCTCCAAAGCTGAGTCCATGTTCACTCTGTTGCCATAGCGATAGCACTGGAGGTCTTGAATGATCTCTATGCCTTTATTTCCTTCAGCCTTGCTATGATCTGGCTTTGTGCCTAAAAATTTACACCACATAATTATTGTCTTAAACTGCCCAAACTAAGGTCTTTGACAGTGAAAGTAATGAATATTTAATTATGAATAATGGGGAAAAAATCCTAGCAATGCTATAGTTTTTTTTTAGACCAGAATATATAGTATCTTGTTGACAGTTGAAAATTAATGTAATTCTATAATATATGACTCTTTCACTTAAAAGACTATTAAATTTCCATTATTGAAGAGCAATACTTTCAGTCTTCAAAGATATACACACCGTTTTGCAGCAGTATTCTGAACTGCTCCACAGCATTTTCCACGTTGACCTGGTAGAACTCCCAAAGTTTGATTCGAGGAAAAATGTCCTCCCAAAACACCCTGCGGAGAGCCTAACAGAGGCAGCAAAAGATAACCATCATTGTAACGCCACTTAATCTTTTCATATTAATCAAAAACCTTTATCAAACATCTCAGAAAGTGTGTAATTTCAGTTGTAAATGAGGAAAGAACTGTGACTTTTGTGAAATTGTGAAGCTTGTACTTCAGTTCACATTACCTCCAGCAACAGGATTTAACAGTTCAGCTGATAGATCAGTTCATAAGCTCTATCCAGTTATGAATGTGGATTAATCTCTCCACCAAAAATACTACAATCACATCATTGCTATGAAGGCAATGATATGATGACAGAAAATCATTTCACAGTTTTACATCTCTGTGCCCTAGGGGGGATTAAGTGTTTCAAATATTTCTTTCTTTTCTATTAAGCTACCTAAGAGGTTCCTGTTTGGTAAAATTTTCTAAATATGACCAACTTGAAAAATGTGAGCAAAATGTTTTTTATTCAGTCAATATTTAATTCAACAGAATTTTTTGTAAATATAATTATTCAATTCTTTAAAAAAAATTAAAATATAGTACTTCATGATAGAGATTCAAAAGAACACACTTTTTTTTAAGAAAATGTCAACTTATTGTTAGTTCTAGTTGGGATGGTGCTTTCAAAAAGATGGGGACATTTGTTTGTAAGGGAGAATAATGAGAATCTCCACTAAAGAGGCAATATTCTAGGACTACTGGGTTACTATACAAATCATGAGCCATGTGTATTCAACATAGACAAATCTTTAATTAATTGGGATTTTTTTTCTCCACTGAATAAACTGAAATTTGATTTATTTTCTAAATATACTAGTGTGAAATTATGTCACTTGAATGCAAAATTCTATTTCACTTAAGTATTTTTACACAATTTTATCATGGTTCCCAATAAATGTGTCTGTCTAAATATACAAGGTGTGTTCTCCACTCACATTTAAGTGGCTCTCGTTGGTAATGTCAGAAGGAAGTCCCGTCTCTTTGTACCGTCCATCTGCTATCCTAGTGGTTAAATGCCAGAGAGCTCTGTCTAAGACCCAGGCAGGACGCAGGTGAGGAGAATTCATCAGGTTGTAGCCACACTCTGGATGTTCCTTTATCCACACACTGTTTGCAGCTAAACACAAGCAGATAGGCTTGGTTGATCATAGATAGGAACTGGTTGATCATAAAAACAAATTTTTAGATATTAAGATCATTAATTATTAAGATTAATTATTTTTATTTTTCAAACTTTGTGCGTGGGGATGGCGATGACACTATTCAACTAAAATTGCAAAAAGTTAAAAAAAAAAATCAGTAGCAAAGAACAAGGAATGATTGAGTGTCTCACTGAATTGTAATTCTTACAGACTTTGTAAAGCCCCAATGGAAATTTGAAAGAGTAAATAAACCTTTATATTTGACCTTTCAGGCTGTCTCATTTCACATTGATCTATTCTTGGAGTAAAGGGAAGTAGTAGTGAGAAGGTTAGAGAGCGATGCAGTAGGCACACGTACAGTGCTAATCTAGGACAGCACAATAAGTACATAGATGCAGAGGTTGCTACACACTTACTGCTGAAACATAAAGGACCAAAAAAAAAAAAAAAAAAAAAAAAAAAAAAAAAAAAAAAAAGAAAAACAACTAAGAAGCCGGGGACTTTAGAACAAGGGATAATTTTGCAACTGGCATCAGAAAAACTAACAATACTGACTTGAGCTACTTGGTCATTTACAGTAGTAGTTTAACAAGAGGAACATTTAAAACAAAACTTCCTTTTAGATTTAGATTACTTTATGTATGTATATCCTTAGGTATACATATAGCTAAGTCAGTCCATCCAGCCATCTAACCATTCATTTTCTTCTGCTTAATCCAGGGTCGGGTCGTGGGGGTAGCAGCCTACGGAGGGGAGACTCAGACTACCCTCTCCCCACCCATTTAGGCCAGTTCCTCCACGGGAATGTCAAGATATTTCCAGGCCAGCTAAGAAACATAGTCCCTCTAGTGTGTCCTGGGTCTTCCCCTTGTGGGTCGTGCCTGGAACACTTTACTAGGTAGGCGTCCTAACCAAATGCCTGAGGCACCTCAACTGATTCCTCTCAATATGGAAAAGCAGCAGCTCTACTCCGAGTCCCTCCTGGATGATTAAGCTTTGCACCCTATCTCTAAGAGAAATCCCAGACACCAAGAAGAGGAGTCTTTTTTAGCAGACTGTATCTGTGATCTTGTACTTTTGGGTCTAATGTGCAGTTTAATTCCCCTGCAATAATACACACGTAGGCAAAATAGCTGGTACCCCTCAGTTAATGAAAGAAAAACCCAAAATGCTCTCAGAAATAACCTGAATCTGACAAAGGTAATAAATAAATATTCTATGAATATTCCATGAAAGTGAACAAATTAAAGTCAAACATTGCTTTTCAAACATGCTTCAACACAATTATTTAAAAAAATAAACTCAGGCCTGGACAAAAATGATGGTAGCCCTGAAAATAATGTGACCAAAGGGACATGTTAAATCAAAGAGTGCCGACTAATTAGCATCATAGGTGTCTACATTCTTGTAATCAGTTAGTGAGCTACATGTAGCCACTGTGCTGTTTGATGACACGATCGCACCATCCAAAATTAAACCCACTTTGTTTGAACCAAAGTGGACTTAATGGGAGACGACAAAGGAGAACACCATTGTTGAAAACAAATCCATGGGACTGTGGGACATCACTAGCCGTAACTCACTTAATAAAAGAAATTACCAATGCAACAGATAGTAAGAAATTAGCTTTAGAGGTATTCACAAAGACAGCTTTTGATACAATAAATCATAATATCTTAATTTAAAAATTTGAACGTTGTGGAATTCGGGGAGTAGTTTTGAACTGGATGAGGAGCTATTTAAAAAGCAGAAAATTTGTGAGGATGGGAGATATTGACTCTGACTGTCTGGAGATTGTGACTGGGGTATCTCAAGGGTCAGCACTGGGACCAGTTTTATTTAAATTGTATATAAACAACATAAGCAAAGTGTCTAATGTATTAAAATTGGTTATTTGCTAACGACCCAAATATAGTGAAAACTATATTTAAGTATATTTAAGTATTTAAGTCTAGTAAAAACTTACAACTTCTTTCCATAGTCGCATCAGAAATCAGTAAATTAAAGAAATGGTTTGACAAAAGTAAATGATCACTAAATTTGGACAAGACTAAAGTCATGGTTTTTGGAAAATATTACAAAATTGCTCAAATTCAAGTTCAGATACATGGTGTAACTCTAGAAAGGGTATATGATAAGGTTCTCGGTGTAATAATACATGACAAAGTTAGTTGAAAATCTCATATTAAACATTTACAGAATAAACTAGAAGCATATCAGTCCTGGCTGAAGCTAGACATATTCTGAATAAATAAATCACTTTATATTTTACACAACTCGCTGATTTTGCCATATTTAACATATTGTTCAGAAGTGTGGGGAATTAATTACAAAAGCTCTTTACAACCACTGAGTATCCTACAGAAATGAGCCATAACAGTCATAATGTCAGTTTTTGTGAGAACACAAACCCATTATTCTTAAAATTAGGGATGCTCTGATCAGGTTTTTTGCAGCCGATTCCGATCACCCATGACGGCCTATGGGATCACCGATCACTGCCAATAACCGATCACTGCCGATTGCTTGGATTGGTTGTTAATTTTTTGCTTCAGGTAT